ATAATTTGTAAAAATTGTATCTCACAGTTACTGCATTTAGAATATAAAACCAAATGTGTTTTGTGAAAATAACACACATACCGCAACTGATGGAATTTCCCATTGGTTATGTGTTCTAAGAATGTAATATCGATTATGTATTTTGTAACTTAATTTTATCAATAACCACATTTTCATTCATGAGTAAGGAAAATTATTCTGTACATCCAATAACCACAGAATTTCTATTCACCCTCAAAACGATTTTTCGATCCATTTTTGGACTATAAACAGTATGAAATAGGTTAATTCTAAAGTAGCATTTATGCATCTCAATTGTAAAATGACTGAAACATATACAGGCTCTTCCGATCCATTTGACATACACAAATATGGCCTCAATGTTATTTCATATTACTTTTTTCTATTTAGATATTACTATTATAATGACCTTTTTTTTTGAAATTATGTTTTAATCAACTTGTATTTAATAAATTATGAGATTTATCGCTTCGTTCTCTTGCTATCTCATTAAAATCAAACTAAAAACAAAATGAAACAGTTCGTTTTTAAACAGTTCGTTAAGGTAGCATTTGTGCTTCTCACTTTTAGAACCGCTGAACCATGTTTAGATTTTTTTTTTCTTCTCAGTTTCCTTCTCAGTTGACGAATTACATCTTAATCGAATAGAATTACATTAAGGTATCCATGTCACATCAACAAAGAACGTTTTATGATAAAATATTCCAATAGTTGCAAATAAAATTTCAACTCAATAAGAGTTTAGATTTCTAGCAATTTCTTACTAGCTTACTAGTTTATCTAGCATCCTAGCCTTATTAGCGATTTATGGTTCTATTCTTGCTAAGTGCTCTTGTTTATGCGCAGTCCTTTAAATTAGGTACTGTCCTTTGTCCAACGTTCATTGCCAAAATGTGTTTATAATTAAAGAAAAAAAGTTATATACAAACTGCTCCCCTATCAGCAGTTCACCCTCTCAGCGGCGGGAACTTCTAGTATGTTCACTGGGTAATTCTATGAACGACTATATCGAAAATTTGAATTATTTTAAAAGTTTTTTCTCATCGATGATTTTTCACCTTCGTTGCCTGGGTAAGTAAATAAATTTAGTAATTTAGTTAATCAAAGCAAAATTCAAGCATGGATTCTACCTCAGTTTTGTAACTATTTGAATTTTCCAATTATAATTTTTTTAGGAAATTGTAATAATTTATTAATAAAAATGGTGGATTTTATGAACGAATGTTTAGTAAATATAAAGGATCGTCATTGTTATTGATCGTTACTTTTCGAAAATATGCAATTATTTATTGAAGCATAAAAATGTATTTTATTAAATATAACATATATTGCTCAAAGTTGTGTAAATGGCCTGTTAAGAAAATGTGACTGATTTTGCAATGTATGAAGTGCGTCAAATTCATTCTTATATATCAAAAACCAGTTTAATTGAATGGGATAGTGATTGGGAGAGGTTTGTTATCGAATATATTACAAATTTGTAACATATTCAAGCACTGGTGGGAAGGTTGCATTGGCAATTGGTTACCACCAGTCGCAGGGGTAACCCTCCTCCCATTGTCAACGCAATAACTTTCTCCTCTAACAAAGAAACTTTATTGCTCTGATCTTCTTAAAAACAGCCCAAGCGAAAGTAAAATTAGAAAAATCGTAGATTATACACAATAACACTTGATGTGGTGTAATCCATGTTATTTTTTTATTTTTTATTTTATTGAAATTTACAACCGTATTACATGGAAAATACAATAAGTAAATGTGACATTGGTAACATGACATGTACAACATGAAGAGAAACTAGCCATTGGTAGAACTCAAATTAAAGTTGTATATTAGAAGGTCCCGAGGCCATCTTCTTTTCAGACGCCTCGGAGGGTTATCAGGGATCGAGGAGGAAGCAAGGTTTGAAACGAGAGGATTCGGATGGTTCTGCAGTTTGTAATGGAAGGATAGGTATCTGGATTGGGCCAAATTGGAAACATATGGAACATTAAGGTCTTAATGGATGATTTTATTTGTGACAAAGTAAGGAGCGTTGAGGATTTTACGAAGGATTTTGGATTGTAAGGATTGGATACGAGGGGAATTCGATGGCTTAGTGGAGCCCCAAAGCTCAATTCCGTAAGTCCAAATAGGTCTTATTATTGTCATATATATGAGTCGTTTGTAATTGATTGAAAGCTTAGAGCGTTTGTCTAGTAAGTGCTGCAGTAGTCAATCCATGTTATTAACCCTGTTCCCAATGTTTGAAATTTTTCACGCCAAAAATTCATAACCCCATTGGAATGTGCCCCCTCAAAAATTTTGATGGCGAAACTTGTGCCATGAAATTACTTTCTGGGCACCCCTGACCAGTGGCTAAACAGTTCGGACGGTCCCTCCTCCAGAGTCTAATTCAGCGTCCCTATAGATTCCGGCTTTCTTCTCCCCTCCTCACACACTTCGACTATAGAAACTCAATAATAATGTGAGAAAATCTATGAGTAAGTATTTAACAAAACCATACATTTTCATTTCGCTCTGATTTATTGTCTCAACTGACCATTTATTTACAATAATAATTAGCAGATTGCAATATCTACTTAATCCCGTATTTTCTTCGAATGAAAAATATCTTTAATCACTTTATTTAAGTCAAGATCCAGTGATGTAAATAACTCCTATGCAACCGATGCGACGAATTGAAATGCTGGTGCTTTGGGAGGTGCAATGCATAAACATTCTTTTTCGACCAAATGTAAAAAAAAATAAAAAAAAAATCGTTTTTTAAACATTATTTACTTATTTATTGTAATGGTAATCATGCTCTGATTAGTTTAGTAGTGGGTTTAAAAGATATTGAGATGTTAAATAGCCTTGAAGGAATAACGATAAAATTGGTTTGGGTGTGATGTCAGGAAATCACTTCATGAAACAAATGAGGCTTAGTTGATAAACTTTTACACCACAAATACACAAATCACCTTTATTCCTCTACATATACTTCCCACTATCAGGAACAAAGCACTACTCCCTTCCGGCTAACCTCGCCCAAGCCAACCTGACTTTGTTTACAACAGCTTAGCAGTGCTGCCTGATAACATGCATTAACTCTGAATAAGGCGTTGCCCCCCTTAGTTAGGCCACTGTCAATCCGCTCCTAGTAAATGTTAAAGATACTTAAAACATGCATTCTCAGTTGAAAAGAGAATAAACCTCCCCCTCCCCCTTTCACAATCCAAATAACTTTGAATTAGTTCATTCTTTTTCTTGTTTTCATTTGCGCTTCTTGGATCGGGAGTGTTATTTAGGCAACCAGTTACCACTCTTTTTTTTTATTCATTCATTCTTATCTAATTGCTCTAGAAACCTAGTCCAAAATGACGCGCAATTAGTAAACCTTAAAAGTTTTCAAAACAGGTTATTATCGTATCAATAATTGATCATCATCATGGACAATAATCCTTAATTTTTTGTAATCGTTATACAACGTGTTGAAAATGAAAAAAACGATGGAAACGCTTAAAAAAATGTATTTAGTGGCCACTAATAAAGAGTAAAGATATATAGCCTTTTCGAGATCTAAAAAAAATGAGACAGTATGTTATGTTTAAAATATACTAGATTATTAAAGTTTCGTGACTGATAGAAAATCTTCGACAGGTTAACTGTATACGGAATGCTCAGCTTTGATAGACCCAATCATAACCAAATGCTAGTTTTATGAACGATCTTTTTGTAGTGCATTCTGTGCTACGTATGTTTGAAAAGGCTGAATTAAATTGGTCTAAATTCATGAGTAGTCTCCTATTTCTTATTGTATGAACCACATTATACAGCCTAGCCAAGATCTCATGAAAGCAAAACCTAGTTGTTTTCCATAAAAGGTTAACGATTTTTCTTCCATTTATTGTGGCCTAAAAACTTTAAATTAGAGTCGAGACTGGGGGTGTACGATGTCTGAAGCCCAAGACAAGGCTTTTCAAGAATAGCGCCTAATCGAATGTGGGAGGAGAGATCCGGATAAGATGGCCAGCAATGCAAGAGGTATGGCCTCAAAGTCACTAAAATCGGAGGGTTAATGATATAACCCATAAGACATCTCAGGATATTTGCCACTAACAGAGTACACAAATCCTTAATTTTGTTGGTGAAAGAAATTTATTTTATTTCATTCCATTATGTATTTTTTAAATTTGTCAAAGTTAGTTTCATATTGAACCCCTCTATCTTCTACTCGTAGTTAAGGGTGCCAGAACTGAGAACTCCCCTTCTTATATCACCAAGTTAATTTCTCTTTTTTTTGTTATTATTATTTTTTTTTTTTTTGAATAAATATATTTCACAAAGATATTCATGCTTTTATTCTAATTTCTTTATTCCACCTTTACGAAAGTAGATATTTTTTATTATTTATAATTGTGGCTAGATCTATAAGTTATAAAACATGCAATATTAAAGTTAAATAATTTTCTCACATAAAATATAAATAAATAAGAAGTTGTATAACAAAAAATTATTCAAAAAGATTCAGCAAAGCATAAACATAACTCTTCATATTCATAAGCTCCATTTTTCATGATCTGATTATTACTTATTTATTCAACAGTGTACTAAGATGAAGTATTTTACAGAAGTACATTTTTCCACTTAGATTGGTATATTCAGTGCCTGCCTTATACATTTGGTGCCCCTGGGCAAGACCTCATCTCCGCCTAAAAATTAAAATTTCTTAAGCTGTTCTATGTTATATAATATCTGATTTTTATTTCATTCAATATGTTTCTAATTCAGTTGCTTTATTAATAGGCTAAAATAATTATTCTCATACACTTTGTATTGTTATTTAAATTTCTTACAACTTGCAGGCATCCTCTTTTGGGATGGCACCTCCAGGCAACTGCCTAGGTTTCCTGACCCTTAGACTGGATATAGACATATCAAACGTTGCTTTATTCTATTTTTTCAAAATGAGTTTATTAATGTACATTTATTTGCAGGTATAGAAAATCATGAGTTCAACACAGTACAATGATATTCAATTTCAATTTAGAGAAAATGGAACAAATATGGACGGGTCTTCAGAGAGTATGGAGACAAACACACTTAATTCAATCAGTAAAGTCCTTGTACTTTATACAGGAGGAACGATAGGAATGGTCCGTAACAAACAAAATGGTAACTATAAAATAATATTGATAAATTATTATTATTTTCATAGAAAATATAACTGATTTTTTATCCTTTTGTGCGTTATTAAATTATTATCAAAATTATACTTTATAATTTACTTGATTTCCATAAGCATAACAAAAATTTACTATACACAATTCATAATTTGTCATTTCATAATCATTTTATAGTTCTGGCTACAGTAAAAGGATGTCTATGTGAATTCATCAAAAAAGATCCTCAAACTCATGATCCTCATTTCGCATCAAAGTATGATTGGCTTAGCAGTGACGAATCTGCTCTTGTACTACCGTAAGAACTAATTATTTTCAATAATCCCAAGTTAAAACAATAATAACTCTTTCTTAAATATATTTGGTAATTTCAGAAATATTGAACAGTTAAAAAGGGTTACTTATAAGATTTGTGAATATGATAGCCTTCTTGATTCCAGTAACATGGGAATGAAGGAATGGACTATAATCGCTAGAGATATTGAGGTAGGATTTAGTTAAAGTTTAGTGTAGTATTATCTTTTGATCAAACACTTAATTATTTATCAAATGCTTAATACATTCTATTCAATTGTTGGTAACACTTTTTTATTATTATTACAAAATCTTCAATTTTCATGGTGTATAACTGCTTTTTTGAAACAGCTATTAATTTAAATGTGAGATTACTTTTTAGGTATATTAAAAAAATAAACAGATAAAAAATTAAAGATCTTTAAATATTCAGTTTATATGAGCTTGGGCAAGCTGGTATCTAAAGAATAATTGGTGGAAAAACTATTTTTTTTTATTTTTATCTGCTACTAAATACATTCACCATTTTTATCTGATTAAAATGAGTGGAAAAAAATTGTAAGAAAATCTTAAAATTACATAAATTAATAAACTTGCAATCATATTTTTTGATCAGACTCAATTTGGTGGTTATCGGACCTTGTGAATAAGGAATATTTTAACTAATAATTGTCAATCGTTTTTTGTTTTTTTTTTTCAACTATCTATATGACAATCAATGCTCATATCTGATTTATATGTTTTAAGTTTGCTTTTAATCATTAATTTGACATTGTCTTTGAACTATTAAAACTAATTTAAACAGTATTATATATGTTGAATTTAAATCATATAAGAATATCAAATAAAATTAAATAAACTTTTTTTACAATTTATAATCTTTTAATTCTAGTGGGGTAATATTGGTTACAATAATTGAAAATAAAAATAAAGATTTTACAGGTTAAGGAACTAAACCAAAAAAATAAAAATTAACTATTCTTATACTTTTTCATGTATTTATTTTGGCTTACTTTTAACACCAAGAAAGAAATTACTTGACTACTTATATGAACTCTATACCTAGTAATAGTTTATTAAGTTCTAAAATGAAAATATGTTCCCATTTTAATTTTAAGTTGAACTAACAACGATAAAGTTTTTAATTTACGATGAACATTTGATATATTTAATAGAAATTCTATAAGGATTTTGATGGTTTTGTTGTTCTTCATGGGACAGATACATTAGCCTACACATCTTCAGCACTATCATTTATGCTGGAAAATCTTGGGAAACCTGTTATAGTGACTGGTTCACAGGTAATTAATTTTTTTCACATTTATTATTTTTTATAACTAATATAGTAAATTAAGAACTATTTATTGCACATGATTGAACAATTTAGAATTGAAAACACATTCCATATTTTTTATTAATAGTTTTACATCACATCAAATATATTTATGTAAACTGTGACAATTTACAATTATGTTTATTTATTTTACTTTCTCTGCCTATTTTATATTTATGTACATTTTTATATCTTTTCATTATCTGTACTTTTATTTTATAATCAATCATCCTGTAATATATAATTGTATTTTATGGACACACCAGAATGTTAATATATCATCTGTATTTATAATTTGTTCTAAAGGAACACTAGTCGTAGAATAATAAAATTATTTTCATTCATTCAATTTGGATTCCATACTTCCCATTCCATTATACAGCAATGTCATTGTGTGGTAGATATAGTTTCCTCAGCATTGGAGCGTGGAATGTACTATACTGCAGTCTTTCTCGATGTTGGACAGACGTTTCATAAAGTTTGACAACCGAGACTCCTATACAAACTCCAAAAATTCCTACCACCTACATACTTTCTCATGAACCGTTCCAACCTTACTGAGAGAAGTAAATCGCAATAATGCTTATTCATCCCTCTTTTCCCGGTCCACTGCTGTTCACCAACGTAGTATACTTGGTCCTATCCTTTATCCAGTTTATTAAGCTGACATCCTAACCTTTCCCAACACTGTCATCACAATGTATGCCAATAACACTTGTATCCTATCAGTTAATAATTATCCTTCAATTACATCCCAAATGCTTTAATCACCCATCATAAACCGTGAAGAATGGTTTAAAAACTGAAGAATTAAAATAAATTCCAATAAATCCCACCAAATTACCTTTACTCTTTGTCGTAAACCAATGACTTTCTGTCCTACAGTTCCCATTAAAAATACTCCACTTATCCCTATTGAACAAGCCCGTTACCTCGAACTCCATCTGAACAAATGTCTTACTTGGAATACTCATAACAGACTGAAATGACATGAAACTGCTTGATGTTTCTGACTGCATCAGGACTTACTACACAAACACTCTAAACTTCCAATTAATTACAAAAGACTCATATACATGACTATAATAAGGCCTATTTGGAGTTGAGCTATAGGGCTCCACTAAACCATTGAATTCCTCTCATATCCAATCCTTAAATCCTTCGTAAAATCCTCAATCCCTACTTTGTTACAAATAAAATCACCCATAATGATCTTAATGTTCCTTACTTTCCAGATTTGGCCCAATCCAGGTATGTATCCTTCCATAATAAACTTCAGAACCATCCCAACCTTCTTGTTTATAACCTTGCTTCCTCTTCAATTCCTGATAACCCTCTGAGGCATTTGAAAAGAAGATGGCCCTGTAATCTCTTAATGTAGACCTATTATTAGAGAGCTACCAGTGAGTAATTTCTCAACAAGTGGTTTCACGTCATTATATCCATTTGTACACATTTACTAGATGTATTTCTTTAATACAGTTGTAAATATCATTAATAAATAAAAAATAAAAAAAATTCTTCTTTAATAGTAATTCAGAATACTTTTAGCGTTAAAATTATTTATCTATTTTTTAAGCCTCACCATTCCTTTCTACATGAATGCTTGAACATCATACAGATATTGCTATTGAATGATGTGTAAGTTTCCATGATTAATGGTATTAAAATATAAACACTGTAAAACATACACTGAGATCTATCATGAACCCATTATTTCTATCCCAACAATTTTTGGTGCATCTGCGAAGAGATATACTGAGTCATCCCTTATCTGGATAACATCTTGTATTCATATAATGAAAAAAGACTTATGCATATAGCAAATTAAATAATATATATATATATATATATATATATATATATATATATATATATATATATATATATATATATATATTTATTTATTTATCATATGATATTTTACATCCACATAAGCAGTTAATCAAAGCCCTCCCTCCTCCCCCAAAAAATATTATTTCAGGGCTTTTATGTTCAATGATGCAAATACATAATTCTAAAGGCAATATCTAAGCAGGATAATGTTCCCATAATCAAGATCAATACAGAATAATTCTGATGAACTTGAATAAAGTCTGAAATATTCAAACCAAGAGAATCATTACATTAGTTGTATATTCAACACCTTAATTTAATAATTAATCTCATTACATAAAAAAATCAGAAAATGTAAAATAAATTGACACATGGTCATAATGCAGATGGAATATTTATAATCAGAAACCTTGATAACCTAAAATACCTAAAAAATCTGTAAAAAAAAAAAAAAAAAAAAAATTAATCCTCAAAGGCAAGGTCGATTTTTGTTTTGTCATTAGGAGTAAATTCTAAAGTTAGTTTTAGACAGCGCTTAGTAAAACCCTTATTATAAGGTTCTATGTTTTAATTAACTTCATCCCAATGTTCTGCTGCTGTCAGTAAAGACAGTAATCCTACTATATCCTATAGGTGGATCCAAACTCATAGTCAAAGATATCTGTCAAGAAAATCAACTAAGCCAATTGAACAAATATTATCTTGTTTAGGATAAAAATGCCAGTGACTCGACTGGGGTTGGAGGTATTTTTTTTTTCTTCTATTAGATATAGTATATAGTTTTGTTGCCTGTCCTTCAAAGTGGCATGAACTGTTGCCTGAAAGAAAATAATGTTTGTTTAATCCTTCTAAAATCATTAATTATAAAATAAAATGTTTAACATTAGCTATTATTTCTTTATTTTACCTTGTCATCATTTCTGGTATAAAATAATTTCATTAAAATTTTATATCAATTGATTTTTAGGTTCCAATAGTAGAAACTGTTACAGATGGCAAAGATAACTTCATATGCTCAGTAGCAATTGCCGGTAACTATCCTATATCTGAAGTTTGTGTATTTTTTAATCATAACCTATATAGAGGGAATCGAATAACAAAAATGAGCACAAATACATTTGAAGCATTTCAATCACATAACTATCCTCCATTAGCTACAGTTGGGACTTCATTTAATGGTAATATTGATACATGTTATTAACAAATGTTTATAATAGATAACAATCAAAGTTTATGTTCTATGTTAACATAAATATTTTAATTTAATAAAAAAGGCATTGTCTTCCTGTATATTCCTTTATTTTTCACTTTTGTGCAACCAGTTTCAGTCTTTTATCAGAACTTCTTTTTATTTTAGGTAAAATAATAAAATGATGAAATTAACAACAACAATAAAAAACTTTTGCAAATAATAATAAAACCTAATTTAAAATTTAACAATTTAAAATCCAATCTTAATAAATTATTTAATAAAAATGGTAATCACCTAACGGATGGTGGTCCTCCTCTCTTGCTTGTCAAATAAGGACTAAAAATAAAATTATCGACCAGATGGGCTATCCCTACCCCCACATTTTGTTTTCATTAGCCACCACTAATTTTATGATTGCAGAATCCTCAAATTGAGTACTTTGTACATTCAGGCATATTGCCTCATATTTTATAATTTTTTTCTTTATTTCTACATTTTTCAAAAATGTGCATTATTTTTCCTTTTGAATTGGCATGCAACAGTTTTACCTTATTACTTTTTTGTGGGTGTGAACAATTTAAAATGTGATGCATGGCCTGAGCCAGGGAGGTGTTCTTTAATTCTGCTTTTTAGTTTCCTTCTTGCCTGCCCGATATAAACCGATATATATATAGAAAATGAACATTCTATTGAGTAGACTCCACTCTTATTTAAAGGATCAACTTGATCTTAAGTCCTGGAGACTATGTTTTATAAACTTGTAAAAGGTTTAAGGGCCACAATTTTTTTTTCTCTTTTAAAAATACTATTAACTTTATAAGTATCAGGATCTATATAAGATGTTGTTCTGAAATCATTAATATTGTTATATTGTAGACTGTTACAAGTTGGATATTCAAATTTTTGTCTTTCAATTTTCCTAAATATATTTTCAATAATTTCTATGAGGTACCCATTATTTGATGCAATTTGAAAAATGATTGTCTGTTCTTTGTTATTTTTGTTGAGGGATAAAGGTATTTTTTGTAATCTATTAGATAGTCAGTAAAAAGTGCTAAGTTTTTGTGACCAAAGGTGCCACAAGTCCCAACGGTGTTATTATGTATGTAGTAGTCGGTTTTCTGTAAACGTTAAATATTAATGAACTATTGTAAATTGAAATGGTCACGTCAAGGATGCTAATTTTGTTTGGACCTATTTCTGTTTTGAATTTTATATTGGGATGTGCATTATTGATATCTGTAACAAATTTATTTAATTAATAGTTTCCTTCACACATGCCTCAGTACATTAGTTCTTCTCTGGTTTTGGAGTTTTTTTATTGCTTTTAAACTTTTCTATAACAAATTACTTTTTTGACACACCATGCATCTATTGATTTGTTTGCAGTTTGTTTACCAAAATTGAATGATTGCCTGTTTTCTCATATTTTTAATTTCTCTGTTCACATTTTTATGTTCTGTAAGAGTTTGTTTCTTTTTGTTTGAGAGCCATTTTTTATAGAGTAATTTCTTTTTTTTAAAGTGTTTATATTTTTATGGGGTTGTAATAAATGTAATATTTTTAACAATACAATCTTATCCTTTTTTTTTCTGTTTGGATTGAGTCAATAGTAACCCAGACAATAATGGATAAAAAAAATAGGTTAAAAAGTATTAGAAATTGCATTAGAAGAGAATAGTATTCATAAAAGACTCACTAAGTTCAGAAGTAGCTCATCAGAGCTATGATATCAGAACACTTTGAAGTTCATTCCTAGAGGTGGGTTAAACAACTTTTTGTAAGCTGTAATGTGATCAGAAATACTCATTTATGGGAATAAAATAGTTTTGTTAAAAGAGCTATACTAGTCTACTCCCATAATTATTGGATATTGTTTAAAAAATGAACAAAGTATGCACTCTTCCAGTGTAAAAAAATAACCAAACCCAACTTTTATAGGGAAAAATACTTAAAACAGGGTCAGCGATGTAGTATAAATATGCATTGAAAATATTTAAATTGATCTGAACTTTTTGAAAATGCTACAGAACCAATATTATTTATTTTTTATTATTTTTTACTAATATAATTTTTATTAAAATTCAGGTTTATTTAAAAAAAATAAACTATTATACTGATTAATGATGTTATGGAAATGATTAACTTATAAATGTGTACATGTACATATACAAATTTAAATTCTTGAATTATGGCTCGATGTTACAGAAGTGAGATGACATTAATTAAAAAGATTTTCTCTACCTTTATATAATATACAGAAAGACAAAGTCTTTTTATTTTATTTAATAATTTAAGTGTTGTTAATAATTATCTACTTTTATCATTAGTTTTTTTAACAATAATAACCTAAATATTAATTTATTTTCAGTGGATCACAGATTTACTTTAGCTTCTCATAGTATTGCAAAATTTACAGTCCACCCAATCATGGATGAAAATGTTTCCTTATTAAAAATATTTCCTGGAATCGCTGCAAATATGGTAATATTAGGTTTACATAATAAATAGCTTTTAAAGTCTTTCTTCAACTTGATTTACTGTAAAATAAAAATAAATGTAATAATAATAATAATAATAATAATACTTTATTTATTCTGGGACGAATCCGTTTAGAATAATACAGAAGGACAGTAATGTGGGCTAAGGATCCTCAGAGATACATAAAAAGAAACGTTGAGTAATGAAATAGTCCTATTAAAAAAATTATAAGTTACTTTCTAACTTAAATAAGTTAATAATAAAAAATTGAAAATAAAGTAAAAATAATGACGAACAATCTAATAATTTATATACATATTTACAGTGATATCTATTTACAATTTTATGGGGACTCGATGGATAAGAAATGATTAAACAGGTGGGATTTAAAGGCAGGTTAGGGTATTGGATTGATGAATGTGGGAAGGGATGGAGTTCCATAGGGATGAGAATCAGATAATGAACGATCTGTCAAAAGCAGTGGTTCGGTGGCCTCTTATGTATAAATCAGAAGATCTGGAACGAATATTGCGGGAGCGAACAGAAGATTTGAATTGGAGGAGCTCGGAGATGTATGTAGGTCAGTGGGATTAGATGACTTGAAAGAGGAAAGATGCCAGGAAATACTTACGATGGTAGGAAGGATAAAGCCGCTTCAACTCTACATAAAAACGGGAAACAGAGGCATCCCTTGGGATCCCAAAGATGAATCATACAAAGCAATTTATCAAGGGTTTTTAGTTTCGCCTCGAGATCCCCAGAGACACTCCCATATACCATGCAGCAGTAGTGAAAGTGGGGAAAAATTCTGGGTTGGGAAGTTAGGAACAGTTTTGAGGAGGTGATTGGAGCCTATTAGGATTATCTTGGTCTTTTCTGCATTCAACTTCAGCTTGTTAGCTCCTGCCCAGTCATATATTCTATTTAAATCTTCTTGAAGCTTTCTTGTGGCGGCTAATAGGTCAGAAGGGGGGAAGGACAGGTATATTTGGAAATCGTCTGTGGTATTGGGAGTGATGGATCAGGAGGGGAAGGTCATTAATATAAATAGCAAACAGAGTAGGAGACAAGGAGGAACCCTGAGGAACACCACTCCTGAGGACAGGAGAAGGGAAGTGTCTTTGAAGGAGATTGATCTGGGACGACTACATACTGGGATCAATTGGAAAGGAAGGATTTGAACCAACGTAGGACACTGTTGGATAGAGGAAGATTTTGCAATTTGGTAAGAAGGATGTTATGGTCAACTGTATCAAATGCTTTGGGAAAATCTAGAAGGATGAGGATAGTAAGGTTTTGGTGTTCAATGGAGTTTTGGAGGTCATGGGTTATTTTAAGGAGGGCAGATTGCGTTGAATAGCCAGGTCGGAAGCCAGATTGGAATGGATTGATGAGGGAACGTTCTTCTAGGAAGTTGGAAAGTTGATTTTGGACTAGGCATTCCAGTGGTTTTGAGAGGTTGGAAAGAAGAGGAATAGGACAGGAGTCAATCTGTGAGGAAGGGTTAGATGTTTTACTCAAAGGTCGGACTAGTGCAGTTTTCCAGGAAGAGGGAAATATGGAATTTTGCTATGAAAAGTTGTAGATACGATAAAGTACTGGAATAAGGGTAGGAAGGCTGGATTTTATTAGTTTTACTGGAATATTGTCAGGACCATAATCATTGGTGTGGGATTTGAGGATAGTGGAAAGTACTTCGTCGTAGGACATATGGGAAAAAAAGAAGTTTTCGGGGATTGAAATTGTGGTGTTCAATATCATGAGTAGGAGAAGGATTAGAAGCAAAAGATAAGAAATGGTCATTAAGATCATCTGGAGTCACAGGGAGGGAAATGAGGTTATTGGAATCTGGTAGGGATAGATTACGAAGTATTTTCCATTTTGATTTGGGATCAAAATGGAAAGGGCATTATGAAAGTAGTTGGATTTAGCAAGTCAGATTGTGGATTGGGTTGCATTACGAAGTTGTTTGAAAGACGCATAATCAGCAGGTAAGTGGTATTTGTTGCTTCCTGCATTCCTTCTCTTTGATTAAATAATGAGTTTGTTTTAAATACTTTTATTTCATTTTTTTTTTGTCTTAATTGGAGTTAAAGGTAAATAATATTCTTTTCTTTTCTTTATTAATTATATTAATCTGTTTATTTTTTAATTATTCTCTGAGGCTCCAAAGCCCACATTTCTATCTCTATTCATTATTCTAAAGGGGCTAACCCTAGAATAAATAAAGCATTATTATTATTACATATATATATATATATATATATATATATATATATATATATATATATATATATATATATATATATATATATATATAAAAGAAGCTTAAGGGCTGAAGCCCTCGAAAATTAAATCCTGGTTCCGCTAGTGATGTTAACTACTTATTTAAGATTCATATGTGCTGGGATGTAACAGCAACTTTTTTGCCAAAATCGGTTAACCAGGAGTGGCACTTTGTTATCATCAATTTTACACATTTTTACTAAAGAAGTAAAATATGAAAATATTTCATGGATTGGTAAAACATATGCTTATAACCTTAAATACCTTTACTGTAGTTTAATATCTATAATTATATCTAACATTTACTGTAATTAAATCTGATATATATATAAACAATTAGGTATACACCGTCGATTTATTCCAAAAAAAATTCACTTTTTGAAATCACATTATATAATGCTGTATTTAAAAGTAAGTAACTATATTTTGGTAAATTTTCCAGTGGTAGAAAATAATATTTAAACATCTAAAAAGTGATAGAGATGTAATTCCTATAATTTTTATTATGTAGATTGACTTTAATTATTTATAATTAAATTTACATTCTTTCAAATCCTATGGAGCTCAGAGAATGGAGTTATGTGATTCAAATAGACTGATGCAGTTATGAGGTTTTTATTACCAGAATGGATATAATTAATAGGGTTTATGCTATTCTGATGTTACTTATGTTGTTCAAAAATATGTTGTTTAAGGTTTAGTTCCATTAAAAATCTGCTTCAAAAACTTCTTGTAATAGCCCAATTTTGCTAGACTAGCATTGCTTTTCAAAGAGAAAGTTGTGTGAGTGCACACCAGATTTTTTAAATACTGTATTTGTTTAAAACAGATTTAAATGTAAACAGCCTGTTCATCATTATTCTGTTGACTCATTTATATATTCACGCATTCAATACTGCAAGTTGTAGACAAGTGTTGATCACGGTTTATGATTCATGTTAGTTTATTAGGGCTAATAGATTAATTTATTCCAACTAGGACATGATGAAGGGTGTTTCATGTTTACCTCCTAATAGGTATGTGAGGCTGTTCGCTTGTTATTAGTATTTTTTTTTTCATTTCACAGTTTTTTCTAATTATTTGATATGCTTTTCTTTACTAATGTCTTCAAATGAATGATTGATATTCTGTGTAAATAAGAAATTTCATATGGAATAGTAGCCACTCTCAATTTAATAAATAGTGTAATCTTTTGTTTTGTAAAGATGCTGTAATTAATTCTCTGCACTTTCCTGCATCTCAAATTACAAATATTATTGGCCATTACACTGGCTACTAGTACATGGTATAATAATTTATACAGTGAACTTTAAACAAATCTGTGGTTGGCTAAATTTAATGAATCTGGTGGTTGAGATTTTCTTTAATCAACTAAAAATGTTATCTCTATTGCTTTGATATTTATAATTTTTTTTGTTATAGGTAAAATCATTATTGCAACCACCTGTTCGAGGTGTGGTTATACAATCATTTGGTGCTGGAAACATGCCTAATACCAAAGAAGAATTGATAGAACAACTAAAAAGTGCTATTTCTAAAGGAATTATAATTGTAAATGTTACACAATGTTCTGCAGGAACTGTTTGCTATTCATATGAGGCGGGACAGGTAAACATTAAAAAAGATATTGAATTATTATTCATGATCATTTTTTTAATATTTTCATTTATATTTATTATTACTAAAATAAACATGAAGCTAGAAAAGAGACATAAGGTAATTATGTTATATACGGAAAAATCCAAAATACAAGCCATGAGTCACCAGCATACAGGTGAATAGTTAACTTGCTAACGTTTCACCAATTCAGGCATCATAAGGGCAGAAAAAACAACATCACGTATGTGAAGAAAGAAAAAAAAATATTGCAGGACATCTCTTGAAGCTATCAAAGTACCTACTGGAGGAAAAAGAAGATTCTATCAACACAGCTAAGGAAGGTTATATTAAATAGCTGATTAGCAGGAATACTAGGGACAAAATATTACGTGTAACAAAATACAACTGTTACGTCATTATTGGAAAAATTCCAAACCACACAGCCTTATATCTCCATAATGCTAAGAAAAAACCCGTCAAAATTTCACCAATTCAGGCATCATTAGGACAGAAAAGAACAACTAACCGAACATCACTCCATAAAATCCAATCGTTTACTGAAAGGATGATAAAACAACACAGCAAGGGCAGGTTATACAATCAAATAGCTGATCACTGAAACAATCGACTAATAAAAATTATGTAATATCCAATCAAAAATCATAAATATGTTATAAAATAAAAAATAAATAAATATTAATAAAAAAAATAAAATAAGTAATAATAAAAAAATTATGAAGTGAAAAGATATAATAATGAGAAAAAAATAAATAAATAATTACACATATATTAAAATACATTGTCAAAAGAAGGTATTCATCAAAAACTGCTGACTAATTAGATGAAGACAAAATTTGAGAACAAAGCATCATTTTTTAAACTCATCTAAGATGCTAAACGTTTCCAACTAAAAGTTATTTAAATTTCTACTGTCAGTCCTGTAATTCAAAGCATTATCCAGCTTCTGTGCATTATGCATAGCCTCAAATATCTTTCTTTTAGAACTATTCCTCTCTTTCTGTAGCACTCGGACATTACTAAAATCAAATTCATGATTTAATATTTTAGAATGCTGAGAAAATGCAGTGTTTGGCTCCTTTCTGTTAATATTCTTGCAGTCATATTGATACTGATACATTCTTCTATGCACAGTTTGGGATGTTTCACCAATATATACCTTCGAGCAGTGCACACACCCAACTGTATGTACTATGTCAGATTGTTGCTGAGTTAATATTTTATCTTTAAGTGGAGTATAAAACTTGCTCATCCTGTTACTAATTCTACTGGCCAATTTAATGTCATGAACATCAAATTCCTTAAAATGTCTCTAATTTGTTCAGAGGGACCCTTAATATAAGTATATGAAAAAACTCTACAGCTATTACCACCATTTTCATGATTTGCTATGACAGAAGATGTTACAGTACCCTTGCTGTTAGAAACATCATTAACATTCCAATGCATTTTTTGATAGTTAGAATTCCAAAATCTTTTTATTAAAAATGTGGGAAACAAATTACTTTCAAAAATAGTAAAAATACATTTCTTCATAAAGTTGAAGTATTTTAAAGCAGCTAGGCTTTGAAAATATAATTGTTTAAAATGTTAACCATAAGATGTTTAGGGTGGTTCGATGCAAAATTCAAAATTTTTTGGCTACTATTTTCATTCTTGGTCCATATCATTATCATAAATAACAAATATGTCCAAAACTCTAATCTTATGTTCTGTTTCAAGCTCATATGTAAATTTGATATTACTTTGGAAATAATTCAAACCATTGAAAAGTTCTTCAATCTCACCCATCTTCAACACCAATAGCAAATCATTAACATATATCATATATATCAAATATATCATAATCAACCTAGGTCTTATGTTAGTTAAATTAATTACGTCTTTAAGAGATCTGTTCATAACTTCTTTGCTAAGAGTAACAGATAAAACTCCTCCCATAGGCAAACCATCAAGTTGTTGGTAAAGTCTATTATTCCATTTAAAAAAGCCATTTTCAGATATTAATTTTAAGCCTTCAATAAAAGTTTCTTTATTTTTAATGTATGTATATGGCTCAATTTGTTCTCATTCTTCAGAAATTATTACATATGAAAGAGTCAGCGATATAGAAGTAAACATGGAAGCCACATCAAAACTGATTAATCTTTCATTATCACATATGCTTTTTAATTTTGCTATATTTCTTTAGCCACAAAAGAGTTTTTTATATCATATAGGTTGTTAGCATTGAGATTATCAAAAAAAAAAAAAATAGTATGAAGGACCTTTGATGTTATTTAGTATGGGTCTAAGCGGTTTATAAATTTTATGCAACTTAATCAATCCATGTATCCACCACAGGGGTGCTGTGGTGCATCCATGGTTTATTTGGTCTTAGTAGTTTTATCAATAAATTTTTCACAATTCAATTTCTGTACATATTTGTTAATTTTGTAAGTGGTTTTTGTAAGCGGATCTATCTCTATCGATTTATAACTATCATGATTATTTAGGAGCTGGAGCATTTATCATTGTACATGTCTTTAGTATGTAAATGATAAAAAGGCTTCGTGGGGTGTCAACTGCAATATATTTTTTTTCTCCTTTTGTTTTTCTTTCTGCATGTGTGTGGTCTAAGATTGATAGATTTGAAAGGGAAGTCTCTACAAGGATCTTCGAACCAATCCAAGAGTCAGGAAGATGGAGTATAAAGAAAAACAAGGAAGTATACCTTATTTATCATGAACTAGCAGCGTCCATGTTTGTAAAAGATCAGAGTCTTAAATGGCTGGGCAATGTCCACAGGATAGATGAAATAAGAGCAGCCAAAAGACTATACATATATAATCCAGATAAAGTGCACTCAAGAGGAAGACTGAAAATCAGATGGCGGGATACTGTAAACAGCGACCTCCAAAATCTGGGAATAAGTATCACCATGACAGAAGAAAGAGCACAGTGGGAAAGATTGGTTGAGCAGGCTAAGAGCAGCTATATGCATGTGTCTGTAGTGCTAATAGAAGAGGATATGTATAATATATTGTTAGAAAGCAGAGAATTTTAGAAAATTAATATCTAATAAATAAAGTTGTAGAAGGAAACGGAGATTGACGAAAAAAATATAAATAATAAATTCTGAAAACTAACATTATTTAACGTAAATCACATGTTTCTAAGGAAATGAAATGAATTTTTTTTTCTAAATGTAAAATGTTTTTTTTAAGTTCTAAAAAAGTATTTAAAATCCACCGAATCAAGGTAATGACATTGTTTAAAATACTTTTTCATTGTATTTGTGTGAAAAAATAAGTGAAATATAAAATTATTTCATAGATATGTTTATAACCTTAATTACATTTACTGTAATTTAATAACTGTAGATGTTATATTATATTTAAATTATTAGGTATCAATCATCCATTTATTCTGAAAAATCATAATGTAAGCCATTAATAAATTAGTGAATAATTTGATGAATTTTCCCTCTGAAATATCCAAACAGTACCCACTTACACTTAGTGTGACAACTTTTGACATATCTATGACAGGCAATCTAAATCTCGTAATTCCATTTTAGTAAACTTTTCAATAGAAAATAACAGTTTAATAACTAATAGTTGTTCAATACTTTACATTCCAGGGGTGCCCTTTCCCCCAAGAGGGATAGCACAAGAAATTCCCCCTCCCTCCAAGAAATTTGTTGGTCTACTTTTTATTTTATAAAACAATACTAGTAAAAGTACAATTAGAAAAATTGTAGGTCATATACAAATACACTTACGGTGGCCTGGTCCATGTTTTTCTCTTTGTTCCCTGGATTGAAACTTTTTCACTCCAAAAAATCATAATCCTTTCGAAATGTGGCCCCCTCAAAAACTCAAAATCCAGTAAAAATGTGCCCTCCTCAAAAATTTTAATGGTGCAACTTGCACTATGGCATCCCCTTCTGGGCACCCTTGTACATATCTATTAAATAATTGAAATTGATAATGTCATGGTAAATAAGATATCCTCTCCACCATCTATTTAATTTTAAAATAGTAATTTCCATTTATATACCAGGAAATCAATAAAAAAATAAAATAATTTAACAACAATTTTTTTTTTTTTATAAAACAGATCATTCATTCTTTCATTATATTTTAGGTTTTTTATGACATTGGTGTTTTACCGGGATATGATATGACACCAGAAGCTGCATTTACAAAACTTAGCTACGTCTTGTCAAGAGATGATTGGGACTTTGAAACAAAAAAGAAGGTAACTAATAAAATTTTTAAAATTAATTCCATGAAATTGCTTGTAATAATGCCTTTTATTTGGAGAGGGGGAGGAGATTTATCAACTAATTCTAATTATCATAAAAAATTAAGAGTATTTAAATGATATGACCTTAAAACTGTCCATTGATTATATTACATTATTCAGTAATAGCTATACTATTGTTAAACATTAATTAATCATCAATAAGAAAGGGCAATTGACTGAAAATAAATTAGTCTTTGCTTGTTTTAATTAAAAACAAATTACTATACAACTTTTGAGCTGAAGGAAAAAAAAAATCTTTTCAAAAGCAGGCCAATAGGTTGCCAAAGCAGCCTAAATAGGTTTGAATAACTCATCCTTACCTTAAAAAAATATAGCTTATTTATTCAAAAAAATAATTTTGAATAGATTTCTATTTTGATATTCTTCGGTCAGAATATTCTTATAATTCTATAAATTCTAATTTTAATGGAGGGAAACTTATTTAAGAATTTAGTAAGTAAGATATAAAATAAAGAAATATTACTATATTTATATAAATGAATATGTTTCATTTATATAAATATAGTTAAATTATATATAAATCAATAAATGAAAATTATATTAATATATAATATATAAATTCATTTATATAATATATAAAAAAATATGTATTATATAATGTTTTATATAGTTATAGACATTATATAAAGAATAAATTTAAATTATATATATAGGGGACTGGGGTAGCGTACGTGATAAGGCGTTTGCAATAGGTAATCAAAGTTAAGCAATGTCGAGCGTGGTTAGTACTTGGATGGGTGACCGTCCACCAGGAAAAGCCATGCTGCCCGAGTCTCCCCCCCCCCCCGGTATATGAGGCCTGTCAGCCTACTGGAGGAAACTCACACCGAACGGGTGTAGGACTGATGACAATTACTTAAACCAGGAATTGGGATGTGGTTGACCAGGATGTTAGTAGCCCCCTGAGGTTCGGTCCATGGATGGTCTGTTTGGAGGAAAGAAATATAGGTCCTCATGTGCCTGCTGACTCCGAGCATCCATAATCTATGGATCTAGACCGATTTGTCACTGTCCTTGAACCCGAGTGAGTCGGTGGGAAGGACACTGCCAGATTGGCCCCAAAGGGATCGGCTATGGAGCTACGGGTGGCCTGCCGCTGCACCATGGAGACCATGGTTCATTGCAACGTGAGGCTGGGTGATCCCCTCCAGGCTATCTGAGTTCCCGCAAGCATATATATATATATATATATATATATATATATATACATATATATGTATATGTATAATATTGATTAGAATTATGAAATTATCTACTAATCATATAAATGAATCAATAAAAACTTACATAATTAATTATACATACTATTCATTTTGAATACATTATTTTATATCAATTTATTTCAAATGTTCATGTTCATGTCATACTAAGTTAATACCACTATGTAATGTTATAGCAAATGACACAGAGCCTCCGTGGTGAGCTTTCCCATAGTAGCATTTCTTCAATAAAAGAAATTGATCTAGTCACTGCTGTATCAAATACTTTAAAGCTTTCATCACCAGAAGACCAAGAACATCTAAAAAAGATTTTGTTTCCATCGATGTCAATGGACGCTGTCGTCAAAGAAAACTTGAATAAGCTGAAAGATCTTAAAGGATGGGTATGTAATTTTTTTTATCCATGTACTGTTTATTAATTTATAATTTTAAGAATTAAATCCTGTATATAACCATTTAATTATATTTTCTAAATTATATTATGGGAGTGAGGTAGTGTAAGTCGCACATCTATTTTCCCTTTCCCGGTTTTGAGCCCTGCTGTCACAGATAGTTATTTATTCAATTACATCAGCCGTAGATTGGCCCTGAGATTCTGAGACCCTCCAGGGGCACACTCAGTCTCTAAAAAGTATGTATACTTAATTAATTAATTAAGGGGGGAAAATGGCGATTGAGTATGATCTCGGTCAAACTACTTCCTTACACTACCATTGGCCTAGTAATAGTACTTCTTACATAGTACCGACCTAGGACCCTTCTTGGTTTGTAGTAATACAGCTTTGTATCATATGATAACTGTCCTTGGTTTAATTTTTGGGTGTTCTTAAATTTTATTTCACATTCTGAATTTCAAATTGTATATTTTTTCTAAATTAAATTAAATTTAGTTATTTTGATTAATAGCTATTGATCAAAAAATCTTAATTATCTAAATATAATGATTTTTTATAGAATAACATTTAATCTAAATGAAAAAACTCTTTCAGAAAATAAAATCCTTTTTACTTTAGCTATCAACATTTTTTTAGGGTTGTGATTTCAACATATGTAATTCAGATGGAAGAACTCCATTGCACATTGCTTGTCGTGTTGGGAATATCAAGATAGTTGAATTTCTGCTAACAAGCGGATCAAATGTTCATATAACAGATAAGTACGGCTTTGCCATAATTTTTTTTTTATAATACTTGATTCAATTGATTTGATATGGGTAAGTCTTGTTAAGTATGTTATTTTAACATACTTTATTTTAAAGGAAGTAGTAGTGGGGAAAACCCATATCTTAATGTCAGCTTCTACCCTGCCTTTGGCCAGAAAATGTCAGAGCTGTCAGCTCTTTCCTGGTTCTTGGCCAGACCAGTTCAATTAGTCAATCTTCAGCTGTCTCTTGACTAGTGTAGACAGTTTTGAACAGTATTTATGATAGTACATGTCAACCATCAGCCAAAATTTGACCGGTCTAGCTCTTTCCTGGCGCTTAACCAAGACAATATATTAACACATAATGCATTATTTCTATCATCTTTGAACAAACTGGGAAATCATCAGCATCAAATCTAATCATGTACATAATTTCAATTATAAATATATATTTTTGTTTGTAGATCTGTCATTTATTCGATCTCAAACCATTCATAGAGACTGTTTCTGTAAGCCCTCATCTCAAAGATTATACCATTTAAATTCAATAAAATTTTTTTTTATCAATAAATTAAAATTAATTTACAAATATTTTATTATATATATATATATATATATATATATATATATATATATATATATATATATATATATATATATAATAAAATATTTGTAAATTAATTTTAATTTATTGATAAAAAAAAATTTTATTTTATTAATATTTTATTATAAAAATATTATATATATATATATATATATATATATATATATTTGTCATTACAGACCATGTAGATGTTTTGTAACCATAACAAGCCTGCTTCAGCTTTGCCTGTCTTGGGTTATTTCTTCCCATTTATCTGCATGCAACTCTTTTGCATCTTTATTGATTCTATCTACCATCTGCTTTTTGGCCTTACTCATGGTCTTTTGTCTTCTATTGAGGCATTTATTGTTACGTAGAGGCTTCTAGATGGATTGCTACGAGCTACATGCCCCGCCTATCCATGCCTTCATATCATGGGATATTGATTGACCAGTTTCTGTAAGCAGTTCTTCATTGGTATTTCTTCTCCATGCGTTATTACTCTGATCCCAGATCGTTCCGGTTATCGTGCGGAGGATTTTCCCCTCAAATCTTTCAACACTTTTTTCTAGGGTGCTGGTCAGTGTCCAGGTCTTACAGCCATATGTTAGAACTGGCTTTATCATAGTATTGTATACCCTTAGTTTGAGATTTCTTGAGATTTTTCGGGATTTTAATACCTTTGAAAGGGAGAAGAAAGCTCTGTTTGCGCTAGTTATATTCTGACCTATTTCTGGCTGTTGGTCATTCATTGAGGTTATTGTGGAGCCTAGGTATTTGAATTTTTCTAGGGATGATTTTCCTTCTACGTAGATGCTGTTATTGGGGTGGAATTTTCAACTTATTATCATATATTTTGTTTTGATTTCATTTACTTGTAGGTCGATCTGCTCTGCCTCTATTTTCAGTGTTTTAGCGAGTTTCTCAATGTCTTCTTGATTACTTCCAAGAACAGCTATATCATTTGTGTATCCAAGGATTTTATGATTCATTCCGGCGTGGATCCCCCCGTGTTCCTGTGATGTTGCTCTTATTACCTTCTCCAGGGCTAAGTTGAACAATATCGGTGATAGTCCATCCCCCTGCCGTAAGCCCGTTCGAACTTTGAATGCTTCAGATGCTTCTCCTTGTATTAGGAATCTACATTTGGGGTCATTTGTACACGCCTTTGTCAATCTCACCAACTTACTTGGAATTTCCAGTTCGTCAGCAGTTCAGGCTGCTTTGAAATCAACAAATAAGGAGTGGGCGTTCTGAACTACTTCTCATTGTTTTTAGAGTACTTGTTTTAGGATGAAGATCTAGTCTAGCTTGCTCCTTCCTTTTCTGAATCCAGCTTGGTGGTCGCCTATTATATTCTCATAATACGGATATATCCGGTTTAGTAGGATATTGATCGTTATCTAGTAGGCAACTGGAAGGAGTGCTATGCCTCTGTAATTACTACACTCATATATGGAGCCTTTCTTTAGAATAGGATAGATTAGGCCCATATTCGAAGCCTTAGGTATCCTTTCCTCTTCCCATATTTTCTGGGTTAGTTATAGTAGCTGGGCTCTTAAGTCATCTCCTCTATCTTTAAACAGTTCTGATGGTAGGTTGTCTATCCCTGTGGCCTTTCTTGTTTTGAGCCTTTCGATAACTATTTCTACATCCAGTATATCTGGTTTTTCAACCTCTTCTGGGTCAAGGTCCTCAGTGTAGTCCATTTCTTCATCGTTTGTGGGGTCGTCTCCTTGATTGAGTAGTTCCTGGAAATGTTCTTTCCAGATGTTCAATGTTCTTTCTTTAGATGACGTTAGAATGCCATCTTTTCCTCTCATTTGTGCATTTTTCGCTTCATACCTTACCCTTTCTTTCCTAATGTCTGCGTATATCTCCAGCCTGCCAGTTGTCCTGGCATATAGTTTTTTTTGCCTTTTTCTTGGCAGCTGTGTAATTGTTCTGAGCTACTTGATTACTTGTAGTTAGGCAGAGGACTTTCATTTTTCTTCTTTCCTCTACCGTCCAAACGCATGCTTTTGTGAACCATATCTTAGCTTTTTGTTTCGCCTGAATAACGATTACTTTCTTAGCTGTTTCTTTTAGATGTTTCTCTATTTGCTCCCAGTTTTGTTCCACTGTGAGGCTATCGAATCCAAGGGTTCAAATTTATTTTACTTAGAATTTGGTTTTTACTTCAGGAATTTTCATATTACGGTTTTCATACCTCCTTCTTTCCACTTAATCCCTTGTTGTGTGAATTCCCTTCAATCTCTAACATAGTTTAATTCTAATCAGACAATGATCCGAATCACAGTCTACTCCATGATAGCTTCTTACATCTTGTATTGAGCTCTAATGTCTCTTGTCTACCAACATATGGACACTTTGGTTTTTCACTCCTTTAGGGCTAATCCAGGTGTACTTGTGAATATCCTTGTGTAGAAACAGTGTACTGCTGACAACTAGACCTTTAGCTGCTGCCAGACTGATACATCTCACTCCATTGTCATTGCTATTTTTGTGAAGGCTTTGGCCTCCTGTAATGGACATGAATTGGGGTTCGCATACTATCTTTGCAATAAAGTCACCTATGACTAATGTGATGATTATGAGCTTGGTCCACAATATTTTCCAAGTGAACGTAGAATTCATCCATTACCTCTTCAGTTGGTGCATACACATTAATTATTATGATATTAATCCAATGACCTTTAACTTCTAATACACTAATCCTTTCGTTTATCGGAGTGAAGTTTGTGATTGATTTCCTTGCCACTGGACTAACTATAAATCCCGTGCCGGTTGTCTCATTTTTATCGTTTCACCTGGAGTAGAATAGTGTATAGCCGTCGATAATGGTTTCGCCACCTTCTTGCCACCTTACCTCTTGAATGACTGTTACCGGTATATTATACCTTTTTAGTTCCTTGATTACTGTTTTTGCTGTTCCTGGTCTGTATAAACTAAGTACGTTCCATGATCCAATGTATAGTCCGTAATTCAAAGCCAAGGTCGATACCATATGTAGACAGTCCGATTTTCCAAGGCTTAGTTTAGGTTTCGTAATAAGTTGTTTTCTCCGGGATAGGGTTATTAGCCCTATGCCCAACCCCCAACCTGGAGGACCAGGAGCTACGGTGTAAGATGCAGGGGTATCTCACCTCTATGTGAATTGAGTAGCACTTGCAATGTTTATTTTTAAAATTTTTATATTTATTATTAATTATCTTTTTTTTTGTTCCTGCAAATGGGATTTGAACTTATGACTTTTCGGTTTCAATAAAAATCAAAATAAAAAGTGTATTTTGGTGAGTAAATACTAAATTTTAAAACAAACATTAAACATAAAGGAAGATCTGAAGTTTATTCCTGATACATGGAACCAAATTATGAAAAAAACAAAATAGTATTTATATTTCCCAACCCTAAATGTACTTTAATCTTTTTAGTTGAATGTTTGATCATTAATTAAGCTTGTTACTAACTGAGACTTACCCAATACTGTGGTACAATACTGTAATTTAAAATGTTATTAATTTTAAAATTGTGAATGACTGGTTCAGTATAAAACCTATAAGGTACTGCTTATATCTCTAGCGAATCCAACCTGAGGGCGCGCCTCTCCCCTTGGAAGTTGGAAAAAAATTGCAAAAAGCAGGTATATAAAGAAAAGAAAAATATAGGGAAAATTAATCCTTATAGATTAATTTCCTAATGTAATATAAAATAAAAAATATTATCGTGACCAGCACTAGCAAATTCTGCCAGGGGATGCCCTCCATTGGATGGTAGAAAAAAAATTCGAAATTTTTTTTTCCAAAACTAGCCTATTTAAAGAAAAGAGAAATATAGGAAAACTCATCCTCTAAGACGAATTGTCTATTGCGATATAAAAAAAATTATTATCATGACCAGTACTAATGGATCCAATCGGGGGCTGCGCACCCAACTATAGGGAAAAAAAATTCCATAAAGCAAATATTTAAAGAAAAGAGAAATATAGGGAAAATTTATCCTCTTTGACAAATTTTCTAATGTAATATATAAAAAAAGTTATTATCGTGTCCAGCACTAGTAATTTCTGCCAGGAACACACTCCCCTCTGGATGGTGGAAAAATAATTCTGAAAAAAAAGTTCCAAAAAACAGCTATTTAAAGAAAAGAGAAATATAAGGGAAAATCATTCTCTGAGATTTTGACAAAATTGGTAAAAATTAGCGTTCATTGACCGTGGTCTTCGACCATATCACTTAATCAAATTATTAAGTTTAGGTACTCGTTTGATGCTCAAATTAAAGTTCTTCAATTTCTTAAAAATACGTTTTTTGCTTCTATGCACTTTTTAGTAGTAATAGATGAAAAAAAAAAAAAAATCAGATAAATCTGGCTTTTTTGGCAGTAATAAGTTTTCTCTTGGTGACCCATGTCAACAATTTTGTTTTTTACATGTCCAAACCCATATACAGGGTGTCCCATAAGTAGAGGAAAATATTTAAAGGAGTGATAGCAGAACTCAAGAACTACAAAAAAGTTTATATAAACAATGGTTCGATTTTCAGCAGGAAAGTAGAAAATTAAATCTTTGTGATTTTCTAAGTAAGTCACGTTGTTTGTTGAATAGGGAGTTATAACTAAAAAACTTAAGCAATTAACGATTTCTTCACTGTAAACTAGATAAAATGTACTTTAAATAAAAATAGAGTTTGCTTTTGCTAAAACCATTTAAAGAAGACTTTAGAGTGGCTGTATTCAGCTAAGAAGTGGGGAAAGATGGGTAGTGGTAGGGGAACAAGAAGGGGTGGGGAGGAGGGTTGCCTGGTACAGAGGTGCCCCCCCGTGAGAAAATTACTGGATCCGCCACTGGCTTATATAATTTTAGATGCTGAACAGGGGGATAAAGAATACCCAAAATACAAACATACAAATTAAAGTTCGTAAAGAATAATGCTGTAAATTGAGAGTGATTATTTATTAAATTTGACCTATAGGCAAAAAGTAAGGGTAAGATTGTTACTAAACCACTCATAAAGCTTAAATTTATAGTGGTTTAAATTTGTCTGAAATCAGTAGGAAAGTCATGTCAGTAGGCACACCAGATATTTATGTTTTAACCATACCTCCAAATATCATCGTCCAAATTTTTTTGTGGTGATTCAAACAAATTAAGTGTATTAATTTTATATTTTACTTATTAAGGCAACTTTAAAATAATAAATATTTACAAGTACAGTGGCGGTCATAGAAATTGCATCACCTATTTCTTTTTATTCATATGATAACGCTGATTCCATTGAATGTTTTTGTTTATTTTTATTTATTAAGGTTACAAGAAAACTTTAACAATGTTCCTCAGTTCAGTTTTAACTAATGTCAAATTAAAAGCTTTAATTACAATCTGTGTCAAAACAAAGTAAAGGAATTTTCATGGGAAATAGCAGCAAGAATAAGGTACCACCAATCAACAGTAATCTTGGTTTTGAGAAAAAAAAGGCACCATGGAGTGAACAATTTGATCACTTAATGATGTGATTGTTTTTAGAATATCATTTCAAAACAGGCAGAGAAATATCCAGAGATCTTGCAGATATAAATCTGGTAAATAAAATGTTTAATACAAATTTTACAAGGTGATACAATTTCTATGACTGTGAATGTATATATAAATTGTTTTTAAATATTTTTCTGAATCTTCAATTTGATAAATCTTAATGTTTTCAGATTTGGATCTGTTCCACTTGTTGAAGCAGTTCGTAATGATCATAAAGAAATAATAAGATTAATGAGAATTAGTGGAGCTCAGCTTAATATGGACCCAAGAGACCTAGGAAATGTTTTGTGTCGGTAAGTAATTAACAGTGGTGAATTGCTGATTATTTTTTAATTTTTTATTCTGTTGGCTTTACAAACCTTGTAGATCTTGGGCCACCTAAACCAGCCTTTCCAACTTCTGTTTTTCTCACACTGGTACTTTGCATTTTGGTGCATGTCCCTCTTTAACATCTCTGATTTAATCTATCCTCCTGTTTTTCTACATTCCACATGTTGTTTTATCAACTACTGTGCCATTCATTGTAATTTTGATGGATTCCTGTTGAATTACTTCAAGCTAAGAGGCATGAATATGGCTCTCACAGTGTGGTCATTTTTCTAAAGTTACTCACAATGAGTTGTAGTTAGTATTATCTTAAAAACAAAATGCAGGGGCAAAACTTGTTATTACCAAAACTCGCCTTATAGTGTCCGTTTCTCTGAAATATATAAATTAAAAACCCCACCAATTGTTAGATGAGTGCTGATTTTCTAAGCTCAATTGTGACAAAAAGACAGTCATCACAGTGGTGGCACAGTGGTCTCCAAACTGCTCGAATAAAATTTTTGCCCCGAGAAGAGATGATTAATTCAGAACGATACTGTAAGGCCATATAAAACCTCAAGAGAGCAATTCAAAACAAATGGAGGGGCAGTTGATGAAAGGAGTGTGTTTGTTGCACGACAACACTCATCCTCACACTGCCAACTCCACTGAGGTGCCTTTGAACTCGTTTGGTTGTTAGATTTTGAATTACCCTGTATAAGTCCCAGACATGAAGCGTTCAGATTTTAAACTTTTCACTTTGCTCAAGACGCACAAGAGTGGGGACAAAAATTTCAACTGATAAAAAAGTGAAACAAGAGGTCTTGGAGTGGATGAAGGGATGGTGGGAGAGTTCTATGAGGCGAACATCAAAACCCTTGTGCCACATCTTAAAACCTGCAAAGAAGGGGAAGGTGACTATGTGGAAAAATAAGCAACATACGTTATTTAAATAAAATGTAATACCTTTTTTTACAATATAGAAAAATTTAATATTCTTACTTTCTAAACATGCCTCATAAAAGTCCTAATCATCATAACCTTCTTGCCTTCATATCATAATATAAAGACTGAGCAATTTATGTAAGTTTTTTATTGGTCTTTCTCTTCTATGCATCATTACTCTCAGATCAATCTGATTATCATATGGAGGTATTTCCTCTCACATCAGTCAATTATTCTTTCTCTTATATTGCTTAGTGTTCAGGTTTTGCTACCATACCGCAGGATTGGCTTTATCAAAAAAGCATGTATAAAATTACATTTATGTATAATGTTTCTGGTTGGCACAATATACCATGAAGAGCTTTGGCTTCATGAATTAGTTCTCTTACAGACAGTTAATTGAGATGCTCAGATATCTTGCAAGAGATTACCCAACCCATCACTTGATGATGTTCCTTCAAAACTTAGTTTCGCTGACAGTGACAAATTAGTTTAAATCGATGAGTTATTTAATTCTTAGATAATAACTCTGTTATTTATTTGTGAAAATAATTATCAGAATAAAACTTAATTTAATTTTGTTTAGCTGTCCGATTAATAAATATAGGTCATCAGACTCCTCATCCATAGCTGAGGTTAATTATTGTCCAAGAAGCCTTGGGAAAGTTATCATTCAAAGTTCCATCCAAGTGCTTACCATTCTTAACTGTGCTTAACATTAAATCGCTGTTACAGACATCTTAACTTTGCCAACTTGGGTCCAAATATATATAGTTTATATTTGAACACATTTTCTATTTAATTTTCTTTTAATTTAAATTCCTTCATGTCTACAATTACTTTATCTATATAAAAAAACTAATGAACATAATAATTATTGTCAGGATTGCAGCACAGGGATTAGTTAATAGGCTAAAATCCTACTCTCTAGCTGGAGCTGATCTAAATGTTTCTAATATGGATGAAAGAACTCCTCTCCATGAGGTATAAACTTAATATATTTTTAAAATGTTTCATTTATCTTGTTTTACAATTAAATTGGTGTATTTGTACCTTATATTGCTTTATCCATTGGGTATACAAATAACTTGTTTCCTTATCTGCTTCTTCAACAATTTCCTCCTACTTAAGCTTAGCAGATCTTCTCTATCTCACTACTCCAAAGAGCTTAATATTAGCCTTTATGCTTTCTAATAACCACAGTTTTGGTATCTCACCCTCTTTCTCTATCTGGGTTTCCTTTAATTTCCTTCTTTACCTATTCAGTTTATATGGCAAAATCTCCTAATGTCTTAGCTTTAAATTTTCCTGTTGTCTTAGCACAAGAAAAGTGGCTGTGACAGATGGAAAAATAAGGTGAGGTTCCCAGAGTTAAAACATAATGAGTTTGATTCCACCTGGGTCAGTTAATATTGTTTCTCAGCAGTCTAGAGAAATTAATATTGACATACCCACTCCGACTCTGGTTAGTAAAAAAAATACCATAGGGCCCACTAGTTCCCCACACCAGTTCTAGTGGTTAGTTTTAGTTTAGTAGTCCCAGTAGACATCTGCTGTAGCCAATGAAGTGCTAATATTGAAGATGCGGTGAATAGTAGATATTCTAGGGCAGAACCCCTTCTGGTAATTGCCAACAAGTAATTCTATCATAACCATTATTTTTTTCAATAATGGTTAAGATAAAATAGTTGTAGGGCTAACTATTGGTTAATCTGATGCTTAATTGCTGTATTTTGTTTAGACATATGTGCTATAGTATAGTCCGACAGGCACTCAAATTTAAAGTTGTTTCAGTACAACTAAATATAATCTTTAGAAGAATATTTTTTATTATTTATATAGACTTTCTAGTTCATGTAACATTAATTTATAGGACTATTTTCAATTTAATATCTAAATTAATTAAATGGAATAAAGGAGGTTTTGAAAGAAATCAAAGCAAAAATTATAAGCATATTCAGGCAGCAATATTTCTTATGTATATACGTTTTCCAAACCTTAACAACCAAAAAGCCATCTTACCTTCTTGATTTGTTTACTCCTTTTTACTCTGTTCATTCATTTATCACGAGATTCCAGTCTATAAACCTGTTTGTTCCCTCTCATAAAACAGTTTCCTTAAAAAAAAATCCTTTATCATGCATGCTCCTTTTTTTTTTGGAATTCTTTATCTACCTCTATATGTAAATCCTCTTCCTTAACCTCATTGAAACAATATTTATTGTTCTATCTCCTTAGAAATCAATCTTCCGAATACATGTAAGAATAAAATTTTGTATTTAAGAGCTGTCACTGTCATTTGACTCTTATGTTACTGTTACTTCTATATTATCAATATTTTTAATCAGAACACTTATGTGAACACACTAATTTATATTTATGTACACATTAATATGTTTACTTGTACTTAATTTATTTTAATTACAAGGTTAGATTATTATCTTATGTTAGCTAATTATTTTTTATTTTCTTATAATGCCAGACAATTGTCATCTTTTTGTTCATTATAATTATTCTTAGGGGTCTAAATGTCACAGAATATAATTTACTTTTCTTCGTCTTCTTCTATATTAAGAACTTGCCTATTTATTAGAAATTATTAAATGCTATATTGGTTATTATACAAAATTAATTAAATAAAAGTATTTTATGACAGAAAATCACTCCAATTGGTATGATATATACATTACCATAAATTTCATTAATTTTAAAATTAATTATTTTTCAGGCGTGTCTACATGGCCAGCTACTTACTGTAAAATATTTAATGCATAAAAATGTCGACCAAAACAAAATTGATTTCCTTGGGTACAGAGCCATAGATTTAGCAACTAGATTTCAGCACAAAGACATAATTGCTGAACTAAGGAGATTATGATTTTTAATGACTGTAAAATGAAATGTTATAAAGACTTTAATATAAATGAAGTGTCTCTGTGATTTTTACTGCTGTGAAAATATATTTAATAATGTTTTATGTACTTGTTCATTTAAAATTGATAAATTGTGAATTTTTGTAAAAAAAAAAACAAAAAAAAATATGAAGTAACAAATCTGTGTTGATTAGTGAATCCTGAAACATTTAGTATAATTCTTGTGATTCGTAAAAATTCTAAAACATCCACATTTAATTTTTGGATTCATTGGTAATATTGAGTTTACAGGTATTTTAATGGTTGGTTACCTGTCAATGAACCTCTGAAGCTTTCCCTTAGAAGTTTTCTTAAAGGGTATGGTGCGTAAGAAGATCTTGCGATGTTATTGTCCTGAGCTTAAACTGTGTAGTCGTGCACTCTGTTGACAACTATAGGAACTTGCTAAAACAGCTAGTGCTCCACAAATGAATTCATATTACTGCAGGCTTTACCAACTACAATTAAGAAATATATATTACTAGCTGACCCGTGTGAATACTCTGCACAAACCTAATATTTGTATCTGGTTTTAAAACATTAAGGGCTTAGCACAACTTCCATTCAATAATGTTTGATACACAAAGGTTTAATATATATATTTAGTACACCATCCGTTTATAAAATAATTTGCAACCTGCCATGGTTTAACCATTGCGTTTCCTTAAACTTTTTTTTTTATTTTTGATTTTAGTGAAATTTACAACTATATTACATTAAAAATACAACAAGTAAATGTGACATTGGTAACATGACATGTACAACATGAAGAGAAACTACCCATTGGTAGAACTCACATTCCTTAAACTTATAATTAAAATATTAGCTTTTTCCTTCATTATATTATCATAAATTAACAAAAGTTCTGAACATTGCTTTAAACATCTGATGACAACAAAAGGCTAAAATTCTTAAGGAGGAATAGTTAGTCCAATCAGGACTTATGTTACTTTATCATTAAAACAAAATCGAAAATGTATTTTTAAATTGATAAACTTCAATAATAAAGCTCTAAAAGTAAAAGGTAATGTAATTGAAGCACATTGACAAACATTCCCAAAAGTGTTTAAACGAAGATACATTTATATAAATACAAATAAAATTAATGATTTTATTAATTAAATGTTTTGAACTTTAAAAAATAATTACTAATTGATATATTATACAGGGTAAAAACACCAGTGGTTGACAGTGTATCAATACCTGACATCCTCCTCTTAAAATGTGAATAATAAACTTTCAGTACCTCCTGGACCATTATTTCATATATTTTTAGTTTCTATATATCCTTCTTGTATATCTGCTTGCTTTGCTTTAGTCTTGCTGGAAACCGTAACTGGAAGAATTTGGGTGTCCCAGGAACAACCATCTATCAGTAAGGAGACCATACCTTATGTTTGCCTTTTTCTCTTTAACTACTTTGATTTATCCCATTTTTTTTTCATTTTTTCTTAATGTGTTTTTAAATTATGTTTTCTATGTTTTTTAACCTATCTTGATGAAGGAATTAGAAATTTAATGGGTATCAGCTACTGGAGCCTTATATTGGGCACTTTTGCCAGTAGCTGACAGGCCTTTACTCTCATAAATTCCAAAAGATATACTCAATATAATGGGTCTTAAAAATGGGAACATTCACTACTGTCATTTAAAAAGAAAAAATTGCTAATGATTTTGATTAAATATAAAGCAAAAATAGGTTTTCCTATTGCCAAAAACTGATTCTTGATAGTGACCAGCAATCATTAATAAATTTAAGTCGGAAAACGCAAGAGTTAGTTTTATAATAAGTTAAAGGTAATTTTTGTTAATCTTAAAATGAAGAATATGAAATTTAGATTAATTACATTCTTTTTATCATCCCTGTCAGATATAGGAACATTCCAAAGCAAACATTGTCAGCTACAGGTACAACAAAACCATTCTCTTAATTTTCAATTTTTTTTTTAAATTTAGATGAATGTTTCATGGATTTGAAATATGTCTTGCCAAGGTGGGAAACAGTTCTATAAGACGAATCTATGAAAAATATAATAACATCAATATTTTAGTTTTTACAAGTAAAAGTTCAAAAAAATTTCCTTAAGCATGTCAGATACTGGTCCGAACTGTACCCCGAAAAAAAAGTACCGATTCCCAAATTCTTAAATTCCAATATGAATCTTTGCACAGAATCATTGCACTATAACAATTACTAAATGTTCAGAACCGTAACGTTATAACTAGAGACCAGATTTTCGTGCAGTAAAAATCCGAAAAACATCCATAAAAAAAAACTCAAAATGAGCGAAATCGTGCAGTAAAAAACCCAAAATATGTAAAGTTGTCTAATTCACACTTAAAAACGTGAAAAAAATATCTATTTTGTTTAATTTATAATATAAATACTATTTATATTATACTAATATAATACGAAATCATATCAAACCTAATGTTAATCTTCTGCATTTAAATATTGTGTCACAAAAAATTAAAATGGAACATCAAAAATTATAATCCATACTAAAATCAACAAACGACAACGATACATAATCTAAAACAATAATAAATTACGATTAATCTAATTCTTGAAGAAATGAAAACAAATAAAATAAGAACTAACATAAATAATAGAAAATTGAAAGATAATTCACAAAACAAATACAGAAAGGTCTTAATAATTAACCAACAAATAATTAAATATATTTGTTTAAATTACACTTAAATTGGTTAATTGACTAGCACATATTAAATAATGGTGAAGAACTTAAACAGATTAAAGGTATGAAGGCTAATTATATATTATTTATACCTGACCAATTGATTTCAGATATTGAATTTTAATTAAAAATAATATATGTACATACATAATTATAAATTGTTCCCATTTTAATGAAAACTTTATTTTTAAATAGAGTTGAAATTTACAATGTTATACATTTTGAAATTTGTTTCTCCTATCATTTAATAGAGAAAAAGAGTGTTCAACATGAACTGATGTATGGGGACTCCTTTTTTAACAAGAAACCATTGCTGGTTCTTTGTCAACATAGACAATTATACCATATTTTTTTAATGAGAGCGTAAACTGTATTTTTTTTATACGGAGTAAAAGTTTTGAGATATAATTTTTCCTTTTCACTATTGATTTTTTTAAAGAGTTACATCCTTCTACAGTTTCCATGATTTTAATTTGTTTATTAAGTGACAAATTTCGGGATTCTAGCTGAGCTAATTTTTGCGGAAAATTTGAGAAATGTTATTTTATGAATGTCAAATCGATATTATTGATACCGCATTCATGTCTTCGACTCACTTCAAAGCCGCAAGGGATACTGAAGGACTGAAGAAAGAGCGAGAGTTCAAGTCAAAACAAGGAAGGCAGTTTTTTTATTGAATTACTTCAGCCAAGTTCTATTCCACGAATAGTCTGTCTGCACTTGTGTTTACATCGTCTTTGTGTAACGTTAAATTCGAATCTTTGCCAGGCAAAGAATCATTTACCTTACTCGTATTTTTCTTTCTTAAATTATAAATTTAATATGGACATGATAGTAAAGAAAGAAGCTAATATTTACGCTCACACATGTATTTATATTTATAAATCATTTCATCTAGCCAAAATTGTGCAATTTAATGCAACAAGATCGTGCTATTTAAGCTAAAAACGGCAAAACGTGCAATAAAAAATTTAAATATGTTATGCTACAGGTCCTGAAACGGACAGATGTTCGGGTCCGTGGTTTTTACACTCAAGCGAATAAAATGTCCAATAACATGAGAATCCGGTCTCTAGCTATAATTCTGCAACAAATCATCCGATTTCCTTAGTTTTTTTTTTTACGTTTTGTAGAGAATTTGTTAAGCTTTCAAATACTTTTATGTAAAATCGAACAAAATTGCGTACATTTCGAGTTATTCCCAAATTATGAATTCATTTATTATGTCTCGATTCGTTGAGACGGCACCACCATATGGTTTGTAACCTCCCACATTTAAGTATAGGTATAAAATCAGGAATCATAATAACGATTTACATATTCTACGTGATATTCCCTTTTTATTGATACGTCATTCATCAAAATTCATCACTCCTGAGAGCCGGAAAAGGGATATACGAGTATATTTCAGAAACAATATATATGAATATGATAATAAGTGTGTACTGTTTCAGAAATGCAAATGACAATTAAAAGTACAAACCTTCAATAAAGTTATAAATACAGAAAGGTTCTGGATGAAAATAAAAATACATACTTCTAGACACAGGCGGATCTACGGGGAAGCTTTCGGGCTGACTCCCCCCTACCCCTCCCCCCTAAATATATATCTATCTCTCTCTCTCTCTCTCTCTCTCTCTCTATATATATATATATATATATATATATAGAGAGAGAGAGAGATATGGATATATATAGAGATATCTCTCTCTATATATATATAGAGATATCTCTCTCTCTCTATATATATATATATATATATGTATATATATATATATATATATATATATATATATATATATATATATATATATATATATATATATATATATATATATATATATATATAGAGAGAGAGAGAGAGAGAGAGAGAGAGAGCCTCTCAAAATTAAATTCTGGATCCGCTAGTGTTTCTAGAATAGTCTTTGTCAATTTTGAGCTCCTTAAGCTCTGGTCAACGAGATATTGTCAAGTTCTCTCTCAGTCTCTCCGATGTTGTTCCCAAGAGATAAGGTTCTATTTCTTACTATAATTTATTGAATATCTGAATTTTTTTTTATGTGAGATCTCATCACTGTCTATGATTCTATGAGGTCTAAAGTTATGGCCATGTAAAGATAGATAGAGACCCTACATATGTTGTAAGCGTATATATAGAGAGGGCTTATAGATATATAAAGTTACCAACCCTTTCAATATATAGTATTTACATTCGTAAGACATGAAATAATATTCGGTTACCGTATACCCGCGGATTTCAAGTCGAAAAATTGAGTTTACGATTCAAGAAGTTTACTTTTTTCGTTTTTTCGTTTATATCAGTGTAACTATGCGTTCTATCTATAATAATGTGAGATGTGAAATTAAAGCTGACAAAATTTGCAATAGAAATGGTTATATAAGTTTT